TAACTGAATGATTTAATCAGACGGATTTTTTCTCATCTTCAACTGCTTGTCTAAGAATGGAAATCTATCGCTGAGTCTGGCATGATCTATTTCTGTGTAGTTTTAAACAGTACTGAGAGTTGTCTAAATTTATAGTGTCATCGTCTTTAATAATAGCTTTTGAGTTGTGGAAAGACTTCACTGACTATATATATTTTTGGTTTCTATTCCCTTCCTTCGCTCTCTCTTTATGCATTACGAAAATATCATGATGCTACTATGGATTTAAATGGTGGAAATACCAGTGCAATCAGTTGCAACAGCAAATACGCCAGAATAGTGATGATATTACGAGAGAACATCCCGGCGTTCAAGTAGATGGCTGCGAACAAGTTTCTGAAGGACTTATCACATCACAGGCGGCTTCCCAGAAGCGAAAAGAAGTTACAGACCATAACAACAATGCTTATGCATCTCTTTGTTGCAGTACTTCTGAATGAACAAAAATGAAAGAAAGGAAAGGATGGAGAAGAATAATACTCTTAGGATGAATGGAGAGGAAAAAAAACTATTGCAAAAAGAAGTCGAAGCCAAAAAGATGATTGCTGTGTTGTATTACATTCAGGATATCAGAAGTCTAAGAAAAAGGAGGGTCAACGGAGAAAACCGCTTCATTCATCGTAGTAGAAAAAAATAAGAAAATAGACGAGATTTTAAAAAGCTCCGTGAAGGATTTGAGAAAGCCCAGTGCTAGTGTATTGGAATCAGGAACCATCAGGTTTATTACTGAAAATACTCATGTCAAAAATCGAGGATTCTTCAGAGAGTATTTTGGCAAGTCGAGTACTGAAATGGTTCTTTACCGTTTCGGTAGGATGCTGAGAGGGGGTTTCTGTATTCTTACATGTATAGCGAGAAGTTGGAGTATATGATTAGTCTCTGAGAACTAAAGAAATAAGCGTATGCTCCGGTCATCAGTGTTGCAAGTCGTCCGTTCTCATGAAATGGTTTTTGGAGCAAACAGTGAAGGGTATCAAGAAACCTGGCGCTTAGTTCTAGAAAAATACGCTCATGCGTTACCCAAGACCAAGTCAACGCAGAAAATAGTCTTGGGAAATGTTAACGTGTCTATACTTAAAATGGTAAACCAAACAGGGTTTGTATATGCCATACACAGCGTCCTCAAATCACTGACTGATCTTGCAAAAGTACTACAGATCGCACAACAACCCTATGGATATGACAAGGCGCGAGAAGAAGCCATCGAAATGGAAGGTAAGCATAGAAAAGATTAATTTGAACCACTTCGACAAAGCCTTCATAGATTGGTATATATGGCCTGTGAAACAGCTGGAGATAATTTAATGGAGGCCGATAAGTGTGTGAGTAGCTTGAATCTCATACTTGGATACGATTGTGATAAAGCCCTAAGCATACGGATTGAGCTTGTGAGAGTCTATGAAAGTAAAATAAAAACTTATGAGTATTGATGTGCATTCAGAATCCAAAATGGCAGATTTGAGCTTCAGTAGAGAGAAAATACAACGAGGAATTTTCCGAGGTGTTAGCTCTCTATCCTGATGCTACTTGTCTTGTACATGGACCCGTTGCACTAGTGGTTCAATATAAGCCCAGAGGTGGCGGTTCCAGCTGATCAAGGAATGCACACAACGAATCATCTGTTGTTTGTGGTTGATCTCAAAATCTTTGCAACTGAGAATATCATGAAAACTATGGCCGAAAAAGATTTGAGTTCAGAAGGCGGTTTTATTACAAACTAACTGAGAAACAACCTGTTAACCAGAATGTAGAGAGAGAAGGAATCAGAAAGTGGTAGTCGAAAATGAGAGAAGATCATGACGATTTGGCAAAAGCATTCCTGGATAAATTCGTTTTGCATGATGAATTGCATGATACTTTTCCATCTGAAGCCAAATTTTGTAGGGTAGCTTCTCCATCTGAAGCCACATTTGCTTAAATGAGCGAGGGTTTTCCTAATTAACTATGTGCCTGGATGAACGAGGGACAGAATCCATGATACTTAAAAAAAGTGACTCACCTGACTTCGAAATGTATCGCAAGCTGGGGTTGTGATATCACTCTAGTTTCTATGTGTGCCGAATCTTAGCAAGTTGATGACGAAGTATGGTGACGTCGGTCATGATTGGATATTGCAACAGCGGAACTGAATAACAGAAAAAACGAGTTAGTTACAAGAATAAAACTGAACAATTTTTCAGACTTATCAGTTAATATTGCTTTTAAAAGAATTATCAAACACTACCAAAAAACCTAAGCACTAACCGAAACATACTATGACATCAGACAGAACCATGTATACTTTTCTGTTTTTTTTGACAGAAACTACCAGTAATTGAGGAAAAAACATACCACTATCCATAACGCTGCTGCTGAGCCACCGTTATACATTGACCATAATTTTGCATATCCTGCCAATATCTTATGTGAAATAATTTCAAGTAGTAGCTTTTTATCTTACTACCGCTAATTTACGTCAGACTTCAAGTAATATTAT